AAATACTACAAAATTATTATATTACGTTTATGACGTGTGTCATGTTTATCATCTGCAAAAAGACACGAATATCAATTTCATTTATTGCTTTCTATCCAGATATTACATTGCCATCGTCTACGTTTGGATCCAGACATCCTGGCTGGCGCACGCTAATACAGCGATGGATGTCTTCATCACTTTCCTTCTAGAACAATGCAGGACGCAAGTTTCTATTCTCAGGTGGGCAAACGTAAATAAACGTGAAAAATGGCTGGCTATTACGATAGCGACTTGGCTTCCGCGTGCAGCCGTAAAAATATGAGCACGTAACATGTAATTATAATATTATTTTCACTCGGGAATAAACTTATTTGATGTTAATCAAGGAAAATCGTGGTTAACTAAAAAGTTTCAGCACAAAATCAGTTTTTTCAAAACGGCTCTACCAATAGAAAGTTGTAATTTTCAACTATTGGTAAGGGACAAGATTTAGTAATTTCAACAGCTACTCGTTTAAAATTATTTGTTCCAAGTATATGACGAATTTTTGCAAATTTTAACATTTTGATAAAGGACTGGGAGGGGGAAAGAACCTGAAAAAACATGAAAATAGTAATAGAGTAACAGTTAATTTGTTGATCGTTATGATTGTAACTGATTTTCATATTTCTTTACCCTATCAATAAAATTAAGTACCTATTTTATTATATGACTAAAAATCCATCACCTATTCTAACTACTTACTTACTATAGTACATAATGGGTCAATTTTCAGAATCGATTTGGAAAACGTGGTACAAAAAAGCAAAGAAGAAATGGCCGACACCTCATCCTCTTACTCCGAAATTCTAGAGAAGCGTTTCCGCAAAATGATAATACATCACAAAGAAATCGTGAAGTAAGTCTGTTTCTTGTTTTTTATCAGATGTAATTCGATTATGTTAATGGGACTCGAATACTCGATAAATTTCCAGCTCGGCTGACAAAATTCAAGATATATTTGGAGGGGCTGTGTTTTATCAATTCATCATAGGCGGGTGGATTTTGTGCTGCTCAGCTTATAGGATGGTCAGCGTAAGTATAATAATTCAATCAAGCGTATTACTTATCTCGCCATACTTCTGGGATGATTCGATTTAACACGGAATATTATTTAATAGTAAGGCCTCGAAGGCAGGTAAGCACCTAATTAATACCTACGCAGTCCCTTATTTTAGGATCAACATAATTATGCCGCTTTAAAAAGCAAAACCTAGCTTGACGCATGAGCGATAGGAACAGGTTTCAGTCTTGAAAAATTTAAAAAGAGAAAAGTTGGGGAGTCCCTTAACTCCATTTCCGCTCTGCTGATAATTGAATACTGTGTACTTACTTAATACTGATTTTAACTTTAAATTTCAGACTAATCCAGCGTCAGTGGAGTTTGTGTCCATGGTTATGTACATTATCTGTATTCTCATGCAGATATTCCTGTATTGCTTTTTTGGAAACGAGTTATTTTATGAGGTAAGAGAACTTAATTGCCTTAGGTATCTGTAAGTATAACTATACTTCATAGTTTGAGAAAAAGAAATTGGCTAGGTAGAGGTGATAATGATGGTACCTCTATGCTCGGTGGCGAAAGTTTAGTGAGGGCGTGTTGGGTCCCGCTTTGTAGGGCGGGACGTCCGCGGAAGGCGCCTTGGTCGTTTCTAGTAGGTACTAGGTACCTACCCAAGGCGCCGACCACAATGCGGCAGAGGAAATACCCCAGGTTTTTAGTAGGTTGGTAGGTATGGATAGGCCTTTTACCTGGGTAAAAAAAGGTTAACGGCCATGACTCAAACATTTCATAGTACCTAAACTTAGGTAAAAAAAGTAAAAAATCGCAAACATTTCAGAGCATCAAACTCACGGAATCAGCTTACGATGTAGACTGGCTAGAGATTCCCGTGAAGCTTCGACTACACCTGCTTATCTTCATGGAGAGGATCAAGCGGCCTATATGCCCTACCGCAGGTTCTATTATACCTCTCTCCAACAGTACCTTTGTTTCGGTATGATTCGTTAAATTCAAATCTTATTTTATATTAAGGTCTGACACATAAAATAACCATTTGCCTTTTTTTGCAGATTGTTCGCAGTTCCTACTCTTTCTATGCGTTTTTGAAAAACTCCGATCATTAATTTGTTAGGCTATAAGCTTTTCATGTAGTATTTAAAGTTTCTTAGAATAGGTATCACATACTTAGTACCTAAATAAAAGTTATGCTACAGTAAAGCAATCATAAATGAACTGTATACCTCCTGCCAAGCTACTTTATCTAAGTACTTATTATTTTATCCACTGTACTAAATAATGTAATTGTCTAGTAACTTAGTAAAATACAAGTAAGTTACATAACTAGGTATAGACTAAGAGCTGGTGAACGCTAAAAAAAGCTGCTGCAGTTATCCTAAAAAACTGTCTAGCAAAGAGTTGGAACTATCAAAAGGATGACCCAAACTTCATGATTCACCAACATGCTATCCTATATTGGGAGCATAGGCTGACAAACTTTCAGCTTTTATAAAATGACGTAGGTCTGGCGTTCACTAGCTCTTGGTCTAGTAGTTATGCCTTTAGACTTAGGGCTGATTTTTCAATCGTCAGATATCTTTTATCTGAAGAATAAACTTGTCATTTTGACATAATTCCTATACTGAAACTGTCAATGTGTCAATTTATTCTTCAGTTAAAAGTTATAGATGACCCACGCTGAACTGTCCCGCCAAACTCAATGACAGGGGGGCGCTACCATCGTTCAACTAATGGTTTCCAACATGGCAAAAATCGGAACTAGCGATCCGGTATTGACGGTGGCGCCCCACTGTCAATGTCATGCATAGGACAGTTCAGTATTTTGGTACTATATCTGACGATTGAAAAATCAGCCCTTAGATTAATAAAGCAATTTAAATTATTGAAGCTTTAATTATAAACAGACTGTAAACTTTTTGTTGGCAAATAAAATACTTTTACTTTTTTTTTATTTTCATAGAAATTCAATATAAGCACAAAATGTTGGGAATTACTGAATGGTTTAAGTTTACCATTATGATCTTTTGCTGCTCCAAATAAATTATTTGCAACATTATTTAATTTTTTAAATAAAAAAATATATCAATAACGTTATTAACTATAAGTTACATAACGTTATTAATTAATAAATATACGAACGCGTCCACAGCTGACACTGACACATGTCATTTTGTATAGAGATGTGCTAGTTGATTTTTATGGCTATGTAATATTTATTTAGTATTTTAATACTAGGTGCACCTGTTTCTAATATTTTCAAGTACTTTGAATGTTTGGTTCTCATAGCATGGTCATTTTAAGTTAATTAATAAAAGTGTACTTCACATTTTAAGTGTTATAAATAAAATAAAGTTATTGACTGTATTACTAAATTCGCTTAATTAATTTGGTATTTTAGAGACGAATTTTAAAGCACAGTTTTTATTTTTAGGGCCAAAACCATAAGAATTGGGCAAACTTTTAATAGAAAAAAAGACCAAGAGAGAAATAAAAGGCGAGATAGGTACTCTGATGTTAGATTTAGTCGCTGGCTAGTCACACCGCCTGCCATTTTTTCAGTCAGAGACTATGAACCAGGCAGCCGTGACCCGTAGTCTCCATCCATAGCCCAGTAACCAGTCCCTCCATCCTTCATCCATAACCCTAGTCCATTCTCCAATAACTGCAATAGCTCCTGTGCACAGGCTGGTGATGGTCTCTGGCTACATCCCATGATATAGTCAGAGACCAGATCCAGCATGTGCACCACTTTCACTTTTGTCGATTATTTTGCGCTTTTACCTGGTAGTGGCAGAATTAGAGATGAAACGGATAGTGGTTTGGCCGGATACCGGATATCCAGCCAGCTGCTAGGCCGGATAGCCGGATATCCGGCGGCCGGATAGTTGGCCCATTGTCTCGTTTTATGTCGTGAAGAGTTTAGCGCCGGACAGGTGCTTCGAACGCGATCAGTGGGTCTAGAAGACTAAACGAGTAACACTTTTCAAAAATTGAATCCGTCTGAATAAAATGTCAGATTTTTCCACTTGTCTAGGGGGCAGATCGATTCGGGCGATTTCGGTAGCCATCGTGAGTGTGCGGTTGAATAGGGAAAATTAAATTAGCTTACTTGCTGCGCTATGTGACTGAACTGCATTATTTCATCAGACCATCAGTGAAAAAAAGATCACCTATATTAATTGGCTATATTTACCTGACTGCACCAGAAGGAGGGTTATGTTTTTCGACATTAACAGATATTTATTTAGTATTCGTCATTATAGTGAATAGTATAGAAAAAGAAATTAGTTTTTTGAAAGGCCTTAATATGGCTTTTTTGTAACTTTTTGGACTTTAAATAAAAGCCGTCATTATTTTAAGCCTTTTATTGATATTATTTACATCAAAGATTAATGTATTTCATTTTATTAAAATAAATTGTCGTAGTTTTTTAATATCCGGTATCCGGCCGGATAGTAAATTTAGGCCGGATATCCAACCTACCGGATAGTTACCGGATATCCATTTCATCTCTAGGCAGAATTGTTGTCACCATATTTTGAACCTTATTGAGAAAACATAAGGTTTAAAACTAATAAAAAATATTTTTCTCTATACCAGTTAAAGGCGTACCGATGCCGTTTTAACAAACGGCCTCTACGTGTTGGATTTGTCTGTATCCCCACGCAAGCCTTCTATAGAACCGGGCCGGGCCCAGTGGCGGCGTAGCATGGCTAAAAAAATCTTTCTATTCTGCATTCATATTTTTACAATGTCTATACTTTGTAACCTTTTCTGACTTTGCTTCCGCTTCATCATAAAAAATAATAGAGTAACATATTTTTTAAACAAAATCACAGTTTGTCCTCTGCTCAGGTCAAAACTAGTATACGTGCTCTGTAACTAGTATCGTGTCAAGAGCTGCTCTAGTATTTGGGCACCGCCGCGTCACAACAGATTACAGACAGCAAAATTAAATGACATTGACAGATAATTTCCTTAAAAAAAGAAGTTCGTCGTTTCTGGTTTTATCGTATTTCATTTCCTCCAAGATTCTATCGTGTTTACTGAATCGTGTTGTGAAAAGTGTAATTATCCTCTTGTGATTTATAAAAACTGAATACAATGTTTCGCTACTTTGCTGCTCTGATATTAGTGACGTTTTATTCGAAGAGTTCGGGTGCACCTGCAAATGGAACCGATCTTTCTACTTTGCTAAGCAAGCTTGCAAGCACCTGTGAGAACCAATTTATTTCCACACAAATCACCAGTAAACTAAAGGAATGCCATGTAAATGTTCCTCCGTATGACGAGAAAAAAATTCAATGTATGTTGTTCTATGACATAAACAAACAACTATGTACTGCAGTGGGAGCATCAAAATTGGCTCTCACCGAAGATTTTTCCCCTAAAATAAAGAAGGAACAAGACGTCTCCAAACTCTGTATTGGTGCCAAAGATTGGCAATTCACTGATTTGGGGGAGGTGTACAAAAAATATGTCAATCTTGTGTTCACTAATCCAATAATGTGTGCTAGAGTGTGCAGTGTTGACAACAATGACTTCATGAATGTGGAATCTAATTTCTATTGCAAGTACTTTAAATGGGGTGCGGAGACATTAAAGTTACAGGTAATCGCTGCTCCTACTCAGTCTGGTTCTGCTGCTGCAGAACTTCTGCCTACTGGAACAGATGTAATTAAACAGCCTGAAGTAGTACCTGAGGTTCCTCATGCACAAAGCGGCCCAGATGTTTCTGCTAAAGATTCAGCTGTTCCTAAACCCAAACCGGAAAACTCAGCGGATATTGATGTCAAACCAGAAGGTGTTATTGATGTGAAACCAGAAGCTGTTATTGATGTCAAACCAGATGCTGCTGACAGTGCTGTGACTTCAAAAAAAGCAAATCCTGAAGCCACTGCTAATGCAGAAACAAATCCAGAATTGCCTATTGCGGAACATCCCTTGAATAACTTAGTCCCAGCTCCTACTGCCAACCCTGAAAAACCAGCAGCTAGCCATATCCATAATACTGCTGGTGATGCTAACAGTGCAGCATCAGTGGATGGCACCCAAAATAACCCAATAGGCCACCTGGGAACCGAACCTGGGAACAAGCCAGAACGCACCAGTGTATCTAAAGATGATACTGCTGCCGTTCCTAAGAAACAGGAAGGTGAAGTGGCTCCCAATGGCTCGCTTAACAGTCAACTCGGTAAACCAAATGCAAATGAGGCGGACCCTGATGACTACCAAAATGAATTAGGTAAAAACTTAATTATCATATTTATCTCTTTACTTGATTTAATGACTGCTTATCAAGTTTTATGAATACGTAAAATAGTAAGTTTCTGTAGTTCTAGTTATGAAAGTCAAGTTGTGCAATATTTTGAAATTGCTGTACATTGTGCAAGAAAAGTTATGAGTCAAGTAACATTTGTATTTGAGTGTAATACAAGATTTCTTTAATATACCATTATGATTTAATTCAAGTTTGTTAGGAATCTATTTTTTTAATGAGATATTAAGTAAAGTCGAATTACAATAATGTGCGCAGTAAGAAAATAACATAACATGAATATATCATGAGCTGGCTGTATGAATGTAACAAAAATATTCAAATATAGTTTCTTCTTCTTTAGTGCCAAGACCTATAATGTTGCACAAACAATTTAGTAAGCAGTGTAAATAAGAATGTGCTCACAGATTCAAGGTAAACCAATATTTGACTTTTAAATCTATTGCATGTTATTTTCTGTTCAGATTCAGAAGAAGTTAGAAATGGAATATCAGATAATCAAGGCGGTGACGATGGTGATGATCAATCTTTAGGAGAGGCGGACCTAAAGCCAGACCCAAAAGCTAACAAGAATATGGATTCATCCATCTCACAGTTTAATGTGAATGATATGTCTCAAAAAGGTTAGTACTGTTTTACTTATTCATTTTTTAATTAACTTCAAAAAAAGGAAGAGGTTCTCAATTGGCAGCGCCTACCACCTATCATTACCCAGGTGGGCATGATTTATGGTGGGGTGATGATTTATGGTGTGTTTATTATGAAAATGAAATTTATTCATCACTAACATTATCTTAGGTACAAAATTGTTAGAGGTTAGTAAGTTGCACTGGTTCCACTATGATCTACTCAGTAGATTCTACTGTATGAGTTTTCATAAATTGATACAATATTCAGTATTAAAATATGAATTGTCATAAAAATTCTCATTAATCTTTACCGACCAGTTTAGATATGAATGTTACAACTGTAATGAATAATAGCACATAATTGTTATTGCATTGTTGGCCATCTGTATAAACAGTTCTAAGGTTATCTGATTCTTATTGCGATTATCATGTAGTTTGAAAGTAATACCTAGGATTTTACTTTTATTCTAAATTCGACATGAGAAATAGGCGACCGTCGCGCTAAGTAAATATTTGAAATAATGGTAGATAGACTGCTCTAATGTATTTACTTTTTTTTCTCTTGCTCTCATGAAGTGGTGGAAGGTAGATGGAACTGGGGCCGATAGTACTTTTACCTAATTACATATTTTGATTTCCAGAATATTACCCCAGTGATGCGTTCCCAGAGGATGATGACCATTTCTTCTCATTCTTCTTGACTGCCATCATCATGGTAGTGCTGCTCTACATTCTCTACCACAACAAGAGCAAAGTAAGCAAAGTGGTGAGTATCTTTACCACTTTTTAATATTTTTTTCTATGTAAACAAGTTTTCAATTGACCGTAATATAAGGTTTTCAATAGTTTATTAAGGTAGCAGGAAGGCGCTGGATGCAGGCCGCTACCAATCGGGCAATGTGAAAATAATTTTGGGTGACCGTTTTAACTGTCGGCCGTTTGGTGTAGTGGTTCGAAACGGACTACTATTCCGGAGGTAGCGGGTTCGATTCCCGCACAGTACAAACATTTGTGTGCATGAACATATTTGTTTGTATTGGACTGGGTGTTTTCTATGTATAATAAGTATGTATTTACAAAAAAAAAAAAGTATTTAAGTATGTTTATATCCGTTGTCTAGTTCCCATAGTACAAGCTTTGCTTAGTTTGGGACTAGAAGCGCAGTGTAAAATGTCTTTTATTTATTTATTTATTTATTTATTAATAGGTACAGTTACAGTACATAGAATACTACTTATTTAGTAAAAAATACAGCTACAAATCACTTACAAATCTATGGACCAATTACAACTGCACACAACTATGCCTAATAACTTAAGTGCTTAGATAAAACAACAAAAACTAATGTTAGCTACAACAACAACTAATCCAACAATCTAATCAGCATTTCTTAATTTATTTTTAAAAGCCCGAAACGTATGCTGGAATATGTCCTTGTCAACNTCATGATACATAGTACATTCCTCGAATATGAGACAAAACCAATAAGTTAAAATTACATTTTAATAGTACCTACATACAATCGTCTTACACTCTCTAGAAGAGCACACTGATACAAATAAATAATAAAAAGTAAAAATACGATCAAGCGTGAGCCGCATGTAAAAGGAGATAAATTAAAAAAAAGGTTTAACAATTTATTTGTCACATATCGTCATAAGTTAGCCTATATGTTAATCTGGGTTATAAACAATAATACTGTAAAGTTTCAACAAAATCCAGTAGCTTTTGCGTGAAAGAGTATTTTTATTGGGGTCAAAATTGTACGTTAGGGAGACCATGGCAAGGCCTATCGATGGTTACAGGGTTATCCATTGTTTTTGGGACACCCTGTATATAGGAAACCAGATTGATGAGCAATATTCTAAGATACTCCGAACTAATGAGCCATACAGTATCATCCATGATTGCCTATTCTTGAAAGTTTGGCCGTACGAGATATAAATCCCAGCATTCTATTGGCCTTATTCACCATGATGTCATAATGTGCTCTGAATGACAGGGTTGAGTCGAACATAACTCCAAGATCGCGGACAACATCAACTCTGCCAAGGGCCTCTCCGTCTATTTGGTACCTGTACAGGTACCGATATGTGCATGTGGATTGAGTGATCCTTGCTTCAATCTTAACAAAAATCGAGGAAANGAAAAGATCATTCTGAAGAGCATCACAGTCCTCCAAGTTATATATTTTGTGATATATTTTGACATCGTCGGCGTATGCCAAAAATGGGCTGTGGATTCGATAAAAAAGGTCATTCACAAAGAGCAGAAACAGTAGAGGACCCAGATTTGATCCCTGTGGCACTCCAGATGTGGTATTAAACGGACTAGACTCATAACCATACAAAGCCACCAGCTGTGATCGGTTTTCGAGATATGAGGTCAACCACCGATGAAGATTTCCATGTATACCGAGATGTTTTGCTTTTTTCAATAAGACTGAGTGATTGACAAGATCGAACGCTTTCGAAAAATCAAGATAAATAGAATCAACTTGTGTTTTTTCATTGAATGCTTCACATAAGTAGCTTGCATAAACGATGAGGTTAGAGTTGGTCGAGCGCCCAGAGACAAATCCGTGCTGATTTTGGCTTATTATCTGTGAAAGATGATTAAAGAGATGCTCATAAATTATACTTTCAAAAATCTTAGCAAACGAGCTAAGAATGCTAATGGGGCGATACTTGGTAACATCGGATTTATCTCCACCCTTATGTATTGGCGTAACTCTTGATAGTTTCCACAGGTCCGGAAAACAACCCTCGGAGAGTGATTTGTTAAAAATCATCCAGAGTGGTTCAGCCAAAGCAGTTGCACATAAACGAATAAAGACAGGCGGTATTCCATCCGGACCAGCTCCTTTCTTAATATCTATGTTTTTCAAGCGGGACAGAACAGTTTCTATTGAAATAGGGATGCTACTTATCGTAAAACTGGATGCAGGGAAGTCTGGACAGTAGTTCGGAGACGATTTATTTGGATAGACTGATGAAAAATACTTCGCGAACAGATTGACAACTTTGTCACCTGTTTCCGCTTTTTGGTTCTCATAATAAACATTGCTGGGTATATCATTTGTAACTCTCTTAAGTTTAGTATAACGCCAAAAAGCTTTTATGTTAAATGCTAGATCCGACTCAATACGAGCTATATACGAATGAAAGCATTTGTTAGTTAATTTTTTACATCTAGACCTAAGTAGAGCATATGTGTCATAGTCCCGAGGATTACGTTTTTTTTTAAATTTTGCATGAAATTTATTTTTTTGTTTTAGTAAATTAATCAAATCTTTTGTAAACCATTTAGGATAATTGCTTTTTTTTGTTGTTATTGGGGCCTTAGGTGTATATTTTTCTATTATTTCATGTATTATGTTATACATTAATTGTAAGAAGTCATTACAGTTCAACCCTATAGCTTTTTCATCCCAATCAATTTCCTTAAGTTCTGCCATACACCCCTCGTAATCAGTTCTATGGAAACATAGCCTTTCGGGAAGGTTTTCTTTTAAAAAAGTAGTTGTTGTTTTTTTATAGGTTAGTTCAAAAGGAGGATGATGTGCATCAAGGTTACTAATGGGTATTGCCTGAATAAGGCTGAAATCCTTACTGTTAGTTAAAAACAGATCTAATAATCTATTGTTGTGATTGGGTATATTATTAAGTTGCATTAGATCAGCGATATGGCAAAGGTCATATAGAGCTCTGGACTTTTCGCATTCGTATGTAATTGGATATCCTGTATCTATGGACCATGACATATTTCCCAGGTTAAAATCACCAACAATGCAAGCGTGATCTGATAGTCCCATTATGTGTTCACAGTTGTGCATAAAGTCCAAAAACAAGGCCGAGGGAATATATTCGGGAATATATACTAGACCAACCGTTAAGAAATAACTTTTGTCAATTTTAATTTGCACCCATAAATCCTCAAACAAGTTAGTATGTAGGTCATCTCTAACGGTGATATCTAGTCTCTTGGAGATGGCCATCAGAACACCTCCACCATGTTTCTTGTTAAACCGATCAAGAAAATCCACGCCTCTATCCCTACGTACCACTCGATATCTATCATCAAACAATTCCGAAGACAGAATTGAATCATTGAGCCACGTTTCACAAAGACATATAACATCATAGTCATTGCACATAATTGAATTATAAATATCAATTATTTTACTTTTAACGCCGCGTACATTTTGATAGAAAATTGTAATATCCATTTAGAAATTTAAGAAAATCACAAAGATCTATTTTAATAATAACAAAAAATTTAATTAATAAGATCTAAACTATCATGATTTCGCACTAATATGTGTCGCGAATCCGAGGTTTTTCGGACGTAAATACGGCCGTTGCGTATCCATACAAATTGGTATGCTTTTTCCTTTGCCTTCATTCGAGCAGCAGCATGGAGAGCTTTATTTTCAGGGGAAAGATGTTCCGATACAAATATGGGCTTCTTCTCACCAACATAACCGAGTAAGGTGGTATTAAGTTTATTATTGGTGTTGGATCTATTATATTTCGTAACCGCAGAATAGAATTCATCTCGGGATTTCACACTCTTGAATTTTGCCACTATGGTGCGCGGTGATTTGCTCTCTTTGTTCATCTTTGCAACCCTGGTGCAAGATACGATATCGGTGTGTTCCATCTTAAGCCCAATCACCTTGGCACACTGTTGCAGTACACTCGGTATATTTTCAGTGCGGTTCTCAGGAATCCCATGAAACTCCAAATTGTTTTCTCGTAAGTGCTGCTCTAAGTTATTTAAACGACAGGAAAGTGAAGACACCGTAGCTTGAAGGGTGGTGTTATCGGTTTTAAGCGATTCATTATCCCTCGACAGCTGCTCTATGTTAGTCTTCATTTCATCATGCATGTCGCTCAGGAATGTTACTGATTTTCGGAGTTCCTGGAGGTCGCTTTTAATTGTAGAGAGTTCAGTTTTAATAATCTTTGAAAGCATTGTCGGCAGCTCCGATTTTATTGCCTCGAGTACTTGTTCCCTAATAGCAGCAATAATGGGATCATCACTAGGCGGGGACATTCCCTGGGAGGATGTATTTGGTCGGCGTAATGTGACATTTTCCCTATCCTCACCACAGCTCGAGTCCCCTCCCCTACCAGAACGGACAGGCGTGTTCGTATTGTCCCCCTTTGGCTGTTTATTCCTACATTCTTGACACTTCCAGGACGCCTTAAAATCCTTAGTTAAGGAGCCAAAACTTTTCTCTGCAATATTAGCACATAGAAGGTCGTACACTTTCCTGCATAAACTGCATCGGAGATACTGCTTGTTAACTGCACTGTGGCAACCAGCACATTTACTCTACTACTAGTAGCTACTAAATACATAGATAGATAAACATTTTATTTGCAAAACACATTAACAAACAATAAACAAAAAGTTTTAAAGAACGAGTGAGAGAAACAAGAACAAGAGTAAATAGTGACTTCTAAAGCAAAAAATTATAAGAACTACTAAAGTTACACTAGTTTAATAGTGGCCATTAAACTCGAAAATTTATAAGGATGGAGGGATATTTGTTACTTCTTTAAGCTAAAGTAACTAGCTATTTCAACTGTATTTCAACCTATTAAGGCCCGATTCGACCAAACTTTTTTACGAAAATAACTCCTGGTATAACTAGCACATTGACAGTTTCAGTATGGGAAATATTTCAAAATGTCGAATAACTGAGATTTATTCTGAGATTAATATTTACTGTTTTTTGGTCGAATCCACCCTTAAATGATTAACATTTGTATGCTATATCTCACAAAATGGTATCAAGTACTGTTAGTCCAATAAGTTTGAGTTGACTCAAGATTTTCTAAAAGACAGCAGCTTGATAAGACTGTTCATCAGTTTTATTTGTATGCATAAAATGGCAACGTGCAATTGCAACTAACCACTGGTCAGATTTATTGCACAATAAAATGGTCATAAAGTTCCAGCTTGATTAAATGAAACCTCAATAATAGAAGTGAGCTATCCCCGTTTATATGGGGCGCCCCTACTAGGGTTGCGAGATCCAAAAACACAAAAGACTCTGTGCTTCATTTTGGCCGGACATGTCACAGTGCAATTAGTGTCATAGCTCACGAGTGAGTACTATCAGAGTAAATACAAATGAGTAGGTCATCTTCATAGAAACGCACCGAGCGCGGTTTGTATGTTGGCGCGCGCCAATACGACAAAATTCGGCGCAACTCCCTGCTAATCAACGCTAAACGCAACGCTGCGCTCGGGCGTTTCTATGAAGATGACCTACTCATTTGTATTTACTCTGGTACTATCATCATCGGTTGCCCAACATCCTGATGCGTGCGCTTGATATTATTCTGTAGCTCGACTTTCGCCTGGCGCAGCAGCCACATAAAAAGCCTAAAAAAGCAAGACAAGACCGTAAAAGACGGACACCTGGCAACCCTACTGCTACATATAAAGCTACGGAGCGGTCGAGTGGAAGTAGCAATAATACTACGACGCTACGGGCTACGAGATTTGCGACGTATCGCTACGAATGCTCTACGGGTGCTACGGGCTACGAGTGATGTTGCTACTTGTTATGGACTTCGTCTTAGGTCCTGCTATGGTAGTTTCGTAGTGACGAGTTTTCAGCAACAGTAATATTGTGTCCCAGACATTATTGTTAGTTAGAATTAGTAGGTACTACAAATTATTAAGTCAATATACTAAAAATAAATGCTTTATTTTTATAACTACGAAAACAGAAATTCCAATATAATTTTAGGCTAGACATGGTCATGGTTCTCTAGTTGTTTTTTTTGTGATGTTACTAATTAGAGCTAGTCACGGATCTTTAGTCGTTATTATAATTTCTGGTGATGGAAATACTGATTATTGCCGTACAGAAAGTAACTTGTCTGTTGACTTTAATTATAAATCATGTGATAAGAAACTGTCACCTAGCCTCACAACAAACAACTATTCCGCCACAAAATTACTAAACTTATCAGTCAAAGTCAAAATTCCATTATTTGGTTTGGTCAAATATTAAAATAAAAAAAAAACTTATAAAAAACCTTTACAGTTTTTTTCTAATAGAGCTTTTACATGTCTCATAATCTTATTACGTAACTAAACCTTTTATATTCCGCATTCTTTCTTAAACAAAGTCAAAAGTAGCAAAAATACGAGTGAGATTAAAACCGGACTAATCTAGCGAGAAAAATCTCATCGTTCCGTACGTGGCTGCAATAACATTTGGGGGGGAGGGCGCCATATAAACGGGGATTTGTATGGCAGCCGCTAAATGTTTATAGAACTGGCGTTAAATTCTAGTTTTAGCACAGAATAATAATAAGTACCTANCTCTGCAATATTAGCACATAGAAGGTCGTACACTTTCCTGCATAAACTGCATCGGAGATACTGTTTGTTAACTGCACTGTGGCAACCAGCACATTTACTCGTGTTTGATGACATTTTTGTGTTTCTGTAGCAACAAACAGTTCAATCAACGAAAAAACAGAAAACAAAATTTGTATGAACTTTGGTGGGATTTGATCTTCGCGCCTCTCACGTGCGCACCAAACTCAGTTGCCACTACGCCAAAGCGCTGTTACGTCATACGCCGAAAGTATCGTAAACTAGTTGGGACTCGGCGGGCGGTCGTAGATCTCGATCGATTTCTGTTCGAAGGACACGAATGCTCACGAGTGTTAACGAACTCGCACGAACGTCAGCATCTTCAGTCCGTGACACACACACAAATCACAGTATTCGCAATGTTTTTCGCCGATACTAATTAATGTTTAGATGCACAGATTATTACGTATACGATTAGTGTCATTTTCACTCCAATTGGCAAAGTTTTTCCACTGTTTATGATGAAAATCGACGGAGCTTATAAAAATACGTCTACCGGCACTTTTTGATTTAATTCCTCCCTTCATACTTCAACAGGCTTAGGACTGTCACCTTAAAAGTTGGCGTATTTAAAAGATATCAATTTCATAAAAATATTTACATATTTTTTCTCAGGGTTCGAGGATATATATCAAGGGATATATATCTTGATATATANCACGAATGCTCACGAGTGTTAACGAACTCGCACGAACGTCAGCATCATCAGTCCGTGACACACAAGTAAACACACACAAATCACAGTATTCGCAATGTTTTACGCCGATACTAATTAATGTTTAGATGCACAGATTATTACGTATACGATTAGTGTCATTTTCACTCCAATTGGCAAAGTTTTTCCACTGTTTATGATGAAAATCGACGGAGCTTATAAAAATACGTCTACCGGCACTACTTTTTTTTATGTCCAAGGATATTTATTTATTTATTTAATTATGTTCTTCTTTTTATTTTATTTATTGCCAGTTCTGGGATATTACGGCCCACAGAGAGACCTCCCCACTATGCCCTGCCTGATCTATGTTCAGCAGTGGACATCCTGTGGCTGAAATGATGATGATGATGATTGAGTTGGCGAAAAGTGGCGTCATAGGTTCCATGCGAAATCTTTGGGACAAAGGAAGTATGTCAGCTTCCTTTATTGTGTTCGATACGACCTATTATGTTCCATTACAGATTATTGAAGTACATCAGATACTTGTTAATACAACTGTTCTTTTCATTACGAATTGTAAACACGACAATTAATAGTCTAAGCACAATTACAACAGCATTATCGTTATGGTTCTCATAAAATATTCAAGGTCACATAATATGATTGGTTGCACGTTAAATATTTGTGCGTGAAAATTATGCAACGAGTTTGAGGATAATCATTGCAAAAACTTTTGATATGTATCATGTCGTTTTCTTAGAATTCTTGTTTACTCGCTATTCTAGACTCGGTCTAGGCAGATATGCTCTCATTCCTACGAGCTATATTTAAATTTTTCTCTTGAAACGTCTGAAAAAAAGGCATCTGTTGCCAGAGTTTAGGCGAGCGAAACATTTTAATGATAACATGTCGAATTAAACAAACTGATTGTAAGCTTGGTTGCTATCATTAATTGATCATTAATGCCTTAATTATTTATTCCTATAACTGTTATTGTAATTTTGATGGAGTTCGAATCTCCGCAATTTAACGCTTCATCAAATTTGTGGGTTTTGTTGATCTACTTACACATTTTTTTGTATGGAAAAACATACAATACCGCTAGCGCTAAAGTGGGGTGCTCATACGTTTTGCTGTCTTTTTATATTTCGAAATACCGGTACCGCCAAACTCGCGTTTCTCTAACTGTAATACGTAACCAGACAAACTGGATACGTTTGATAATAGGCAGGTTTACACGTTTATGATTTTGAAAAAAACATCCCTAAAGTAACTTTCCTGGAAATGACTGACGACCTCTATGCTCCTTAACTTAAAACTGTATTATAAGAATACTGCGGGTATTTACAGCTAGATTGTATTTTGTTCTTAGGATCGGGTTCTTTAAGTGGCAGAATAGAAGACTTTAATCTATAGCGACGATGTTCAGCGCTATAATGATCGTTCTGGCTTTGTATATTTCCTCACATTTTAGATCACTCGATCGCGCATTAGTTATCACTATCAGCTGCACAGTGGTAATAAATTGGTATGATATTGGCGCATAGTATCCACAGCAAAACAAAAACAATCGCCTCTGTCTTCACACTTTGACAACGCAACATTGAGCAGAATCATAATATTAATATACTATTTAATCATCTATTTTCAGATCATGGGTCTAATAGTGGAGGGCAGACAGCCAGGTCGCCGCCGCAACAGCCGTGGTCACGCGTACAAACGCCTGGACACCTTAGAGCAAGCTATGAGCGCTAACAGTGCCACCCCTCCCAGCAAAATCATCTACTGAACTACGGTAGTAGGCAAACATCGAACGACGTACCTCTAGTCGGAGATTAAAACTAACGTTTCTCATCAAGTTGTAAAGAACAAATTATTTAATTAATACTGCAAAATAAAATAGCCCGTCCGCATTCCACGCAGAGTTGTAGAGAGGAGAACCGACTTAAAACACCTACACCTCGGGTACTCTTGTCGTATAAACCTCTACAAAATAGTTGTATAATCACATTTATCAGCCTCCTCAGTATTCACATGTCTGATGACTGATAAGCTGTCACAATTTGGGTGAATATTTTTTTGAGGTTACGATCTTGGACCCAGACAAAAGTTTTTGTATTAAAACACCAGAATCCACCAGAAAATAAGAAATCTGGAATAATTATTGTAAACTAGCTGACCCGGCGAACTTCGTACCGCCTTAGCGTAGAGATTTTCTTAATATTTTTTTCCGTAAGAACCATCCTTGGACTTCCACAAACATTTAAAAAAAAGAATTATCGAAATCGGTTCAGCCGTTCACACGTGATGCCGTGACAACGCGAAACGGGTTTCATTTTTATATATATAGATAGATTCTTAAAAGATGCATAAATTGAAAACATTTTCATAGCATTGTGGATAATAACATAATGTAAACGTCAGATCTGGTGACAGTAAAGCTGTCAAAGTCTGCCTTTCACCCAACTGATACATGGGGTTGGTAGCTGTATTTGCATGAAATGCAATTAATAAAATAGAAATAGGATTATTTATAAGATTAACATTTTTACTCTTCAAAATTTTCTGGTCTGTTAGACATTCTTTGATAGTTCAATATTTTTAATTGAATTGGAAATATGGATCGAATTTCTTTTTCCTAAAATCCTTATGATTATTTCTGGTCCTTTAAACCCACGATGACGATTTTTTATCATAAATTATCTGTGGTATATGCCACTACACTTCTAATTGTTCATTATCTTGTCACATTCTATTATTTTTATCTTTATCTTTGGCTTTTTGTTTAAGTTATAAACTCTTACTAGGGGTACTATACCTGCTTGCGATATTGAGTATGCTGTACTTAAAACGAGTTAATTTTACTATTCATTCATGACTTTTCTAAATTATTGCGTAAAACGTCTTGGAAAAATCATAAAATCAGGATATAGCATACAACAAAAAGTATTTCTAATTTATTAGTAAAGTCTTATATTTCAATAGCGCAAGTCAGGCGTGGATTCTATATGAGTTCAACAAGTGGTGTAGTATATGTAGAAATTGTATTATATGCCCATGTTCATATGAAAAAATGTCTTATGATCTTAGCAAGTGGTAAACGTTATGAAAAAGAGACTCTGCCTTTTAAATTTATATGACTTCACTATAAATCTCAAAAGGTTCTCATGTTATGTTTCTTATTTCGAAGTGCACTGGATGTCTATTTGTTTCTAAAACAGTGCTCGTAAACCGGTTTTTAATGTGCAATTTTATTAACATTTTTTTTTAATATAAAGCTTGTAATAAATGACGGTGATTGTGAAAAAAAAAAAAACATTTATTCCGATAATGTAAATTTTGGTATTTTAGGAAATATCATGTAGCTGGTTTCGTGCTCAGTATTAAAGCAATGGCGCATTTCAGTGTAGTCGTACCGATTCTGGTTTCTATTGTAATTATAGGACGCGCGACAAAAGTTGAGGCGAATACATTCTCACACTGATGTAATATTTGAATACAAAACACAGATCAATCAGAATACGTTAGACGTCAGCGCGACAAGCATAAACAGATACAAATCTTTGCTTGTGTTGATAGCCTCAACTCTTGTTGAGCGATGTATACCCTTGTTGAGAGTTGTTTACTCTGTGGTGAGATAACCACCGTCTTCTATTTCTCTATGTAATGTCAGATAAACGACATCTTATCTGCCAGTAAGAAAATGGAAACCGGGAAATTATGTAGGTATTAATGGAGTATGTATAAAGGAAATGTTTATGATATGGTAGCTTTATGAATAGCCAGTGCATAGAGCCAGCACATCAGGTAAAATTTTATTGAAAAATCGCACTTATTATAACTGAATTTGAATTTATTCTTGGTCGTCGTTTCATGCCTTAAATCCTTATCTGTCAAATTTAATGCTTATGTATGAGTTAAAATAAATTTACTTGTAAAACGCACGATGATTATGCTTTAAATGCTTTCATAAATCACCTTCGTGCTACTAAAATGTTACTACACCACTCAGTATGGCATGTAACAAGTACAATACTAGATGGTAGGAGCAATTATTATAATAACATGTTAAAAATAATCTAAAATGTATATCCGATATTCCATGTCCTATTTTATGGTCGAAAACTGTGATTTCGTAAAAAATCTTATTTTATTTTATATTTTCATTAATAAAACTATTGAATCGTATGTACTTTTTAATCTAAATTATTTAAGTTTGGTTCCTGAAATATATATTTTGGTTTGAATATTTAGGCTAATAGTTGTAGATAAGCTTTGGTACATCTCAGTAGTATAACCATTTTTATGGGACGCATTTGTGTTTGTTAGTGCTAAATGACATTTACTCGAAGCACTGGTATTTATTACACTTGTGGCAAGGGCGAAAGAGAAAAAGAGCACGGAAGTCTCTTTCACAATTTTTTTTCAAGGCTCATTCAGATTATCATTCTAAAGGCGCATTTAAGCTTGTTTTTAATATGCTTGTTTACAAGCTATGAAGCCAAATTATCTAAAGTGCCTATGATGTTTAAAGAGAATACGGCGGAATGGTCCAGTTTATTCGCTTTTGGTAACTATCTGCTTGTCATTAATCTGAAAGAGCCTTTATGATTGGAAAAGAAATAACTTTGCCATCAAGTGTAATAAAATGTCAGTAACTTGAAGTTTTAAATAGTGTTGATACTTGAACATTCACCTAGCACATGATTTGAGGCATTTTGTTTACAAGCGTAGACAATGCAATTTTTCTATACATAATAAACTTTTTAGTTCCGGTTGTGAGTGGTAGCAATATGATTAGTTTGTAAGGCAATTTGTTTGTATTCCAAACGACTGAGTATTACGCCAGTTTAGTGTACTGCATGCAGCCCTCAATATTTATTTAATTCAGTGTCTGTAAACGATATACGTATTTATGTTTTTTATTTACTTACTTTTTTAATTGACGCCCTGTAAGGGTTTGTAAGTTTAGTAGTTAGATTATTTCACATGAAATTAAAGTTTATTTCAAAATATTTGATTTTTGTATTAATTCTCAAACAAATAGGTATAAACAAAATATCAGGACAGACTTTCGTCGGGAAGCTATCCATGTTTGTATGGCTTTTGATAATGTCTAGTAAAAATGTAGAGCGCATCAAATAGCATCACAATTTCACAACTATTGTTAATATTGAAAACTGATTTAATATTTGTAGGGTGTCTTATTTGTGTGCTTTAGTTCTACTTTTAACCGAAGAGTCGAAGTGGCGCTGCTCTATCGAACTTAGTTCTGTTCTTTTCCACCAGGTGGCTAGTAACTACCCTCTATTAATGAGTTCCAGCTTTCAGTGACTTCATTCTAGTGGGTCTGCTAAGATAAATCTATGAACCTTTCATAAATAGCGCGACATCTGGTGTGAAAATATTAAATCACAATCCTCCGGAAAACTTGAGGTTCTTCCTGTTTGTGGTTACAAGAAAAAAGAACCACAGTAATGTAAATGTGTGGGTAATTTATTATTGAAAAGTCTTTCTTATATAGGAACCAAACAGTTTTCCATCCCTTTGTGGATTTGTTACCTACAGAATGAAGGAAACTTACTACCTGTCTGATTGATACTTATGAGGAATACTCTCAATTTTACCTATTTCATCCTTCAACTTGTCTAATATCGACTTATGAACTAAGTTTTCACACGACCTATCAGTATCTAAACATACACTTATTTTTATACTTACCAATTTACTGAGATTTATTGCTAGGGTCAAGAACGAATGATTCTCAATAAGTGAGTACCTAAGTACCTACTGTGAGTATCCAAGTACCTACTTGATGTCTATAGTTGTCTTGGTTACGGGAATCTTAGGTATTTACCTTGGAACGCAAACTTTATCAAAGTTTGTAATGAAAATGGCTACTGGCGAAATTCTCCTTACTGTGAATATCTATGATTGCCAGTTCCACCTGTTGATTTTGGATTGGATATTATTAGAAGATATGAACCTACCTGCTACTTCATTTATTTGCTTGTTTTGTAACTGTTTGGCGTAGGAATTATCTTCCTGAACATTTTCTACAAAATTCCTACAAAAATGGGAAACCACAATTCAGTTTTATATGCTACATTTTACAGTAACTACCTAACATAAACTATAGGCAATAGGGACCATTTTGTTTGAGGTGTACGTAGCATAATAATCATAACAATCTCAAGTACACCTACCTATTGAATACTCGAGTACCTACTTACCTATCGAATACTCGACTACCTAAGATAAACAACTTTTTCCCTCTACCTACTTACCAATCTGAGGTTTCGCTTTGCGTTTGTGTTTGTGCAATATACTTACATACGAATAAAGGCATCATTTCAGTGTGAAGACAGCTGCCAGCATTGGCGAGCAGAATAATTATTTGCACAGTTTGCACACTATCGGCGATGTCAACTGACCGCGCCACAAACCGCGTCTGTTTGAGAGAGGCTTTTCCTTCTTTTTGTTTTATCAAGAGATGCCTAATTGTTAATAATAATATAATTATTATGTGTATGAACTGAATGACATTTGAGATCCATTTTTTTATGTCGTGTATAAGATAAATAAGATTTTAATGTCCTACATTCACGAGTTGGTAGAGCAATTTTTTATATTTTAAAACAGAGATACACTAATTTATTGACTGCATTCGCAATCTGTAAGTTAGCGGGTTGACCCGAAAGATATACGGTCTTTTCTATAGACATACTATTCATACACATAGCTAGAGAAGTCCATTACATGTATTGCAGTAGCTAACGTAGGGTTTGCGAATTTGAACCTTGTAAAATGTAAACTCTAAGGCTGAGTTGCACCATCTAAATTTAACGGTAACTATAACGATAACCGGTGCTTTTTGTATGAAGTTTGACAGATTTTTGACATTTGTTAAAGTTAAAGTAAGATGGTGCAACCCAGCCTTAGCTTTTAGTCATAGCTTTGTAGTGCAGATGTTCTGTAGACTGAATAGCTCAGCTCTAGACAATGCAACTAGGTACAGACTAGACGGAGTGACTGAATGCAAGAGGATGTATAAATGATAATAGTCCACTCTACCTAAGTTTTGATACTAGATTGGTAGGTAGGTATCTAGGTATACCACCTATTCCAAGATGTTGAATAGGTGAGTAAAGTTCAGACAACCGCCCTTTG